TTTTTATTAAAGGTCACTTTAACAACAAGCACAGAAAATGAGCTCATATCTACAACGTTTAGCAGGTGAATACATGAGATGTGACAGATGTGACAGATGTGACAGATGTGACAGATGTGTGGGTGTAAAAAACGAGTTCTCTCACAAACCGCAGTCTCTGTCACGGCGCCATGCCTCATCATGCCATGCAGATCACAGTGGGGGGTTAGTGGGGTTATCAGTCTTTGACCTGCTGCTTCCTGCGATGCCACTCTCTCTCCTTGATGTATTGCTCCTTCCTCTTCTGCTGCTCGTCCCTGTTCCTCTGCCTGCTGCGCTCCTCCCTGGCCTTCTGCATGGCCTCAAACTTGCTCGTCACGTTCTCCTTGTCTTTGTTGAGCTTCGGCACGTAGCTTCTTGCCACCAGCTTTCTGGATCTGAGGAGTTTCTGTGGTTTAACAGTCGAAAAAACGATGAGTTTGTTGATGTAACTGTGGGAAAAAATGGTACCAGAAAAGTAAAGATGCTGCCAGTGTGTTTCATCTCACCTCTTTTTTGAACGCCACATCAGAAATGTTCTGGTCTTCATTTGTTTCAGGCTCTTCCTCCTCCTCGTCCTCCTCCTTCTGTGAAACACCATTAACATCTCCCGAGCTCTCATGTTGCTCTTTCTTTTCTTCGTGCTCCAAGCCGTTCACGTGTGTCTTGTCGGTCTCATCGCTCGCCGTTTCATTCCTGCCACGAGGTTCCTGATCTTCTGTGGATGCTCTCTCGCCTCTACCCTCGACGTCATTGGCTGTCACATCGCTTTCTTTATCCTCCACGTCGTGGGCATCTACAGCTGCCACCTGCACCACCTCAGTCATGTTTGTACCACAGTGACAGGCCGACAAACACACTCTGTTCAAAGTTCTTCACCTGCAAAGCACACGAGTCACAGTTCAAACACTGACGACCAGCCGACCGTGTTTTTAAGACTCTGCTGTTAAACACACGAAGACACGACTCACTCATCACAGCAGAATAAAGCTTAAAGCTAAACTGACAGATACATGCTAGGATGAGTTTGTTAACCTTTGCCATGTAGTGCCGCACAGAAGTGCTCCCTTTAGCCGACAACATGGCAGACTAATTTTACATTAATTAATTACTAATTAATTAATACTAATTAATTTTACATGATTAAAATCCTAATTTTAAAGTTTTTTTTATTAATCTGTGTTTTGAATCAATCATTTTAATGCCATTTCTATCTTTGCCTAATTTTATTTTCTATCCTTTAGCTGAATATCAATGTAGCACTTTACTGTCGTTTTGCTACATTTCACAGTTACTGTCTGTCTGCATTGTCACATTGTTACCACTGCAGAGCCGTTACTCAGTATCTGGAGAAAGAGTGCAATGGAAGCTTGCCGGCCCTATTTATAGCCCACTTGTGGCTCTCGGGCATGTGATCGTGACTATTTCTGATGACTGATAGGCAGTTGGACACAGCTCAAGCTGGCACCCACATGTCGCCCCACAGACCCTCGACAAAATGGCCAAACTGAGAGCAGGACAACTGGATGAATGAGAGCTGTTTGGGCTGTTAGTCACCCCACACTAAAACTGTTGCTGTGTATCAGCGTCCCCAAATACCTTTCAGATATGAAGATCTCACTGTGACCCGGCACAGCCAATCAGAAGCTCTGCCACTGAACCAACAGTCAACACACTGAGGCGGATCACTGTAGGCCTCACAGGTGGGCTCAGCCCCACTTCAGAAGTATCGAAGCACTTTTACATTATAGCAGAGAGCGGCTCATTGAAGCAATTACAGTTATCAATTTAGTCCAGGCATGATTTTAGGCCTACA